TTGTACAAATAGTAGTATTTCTATATAGTCACTATGTAGTTACTATTTTTAAATTACTAATAAAGATACGAGCAAGGTCTCACCTTAATACCAAAAAAAAAAAAATAAATAAAAAGCAAGAAAAATGAAGAGGTCAAAAAAAAAAAAAAAAAGTAAAGAAAAAACAAAAAAAAGAAAGATAAAAACAATGAAGAGAAATACTAGAATGAACGAAGCAAGAAAGGAAAAACAAAGAAAAGATAAAATGAAGAAAAAAAGAAAAGAAAGAATATTAAAATAACAAAAAACAAGTGGAAATGAAGCAAAAGAAAGAAAAAAGAAGAAACTAAAAAGAGAAGTAAACGAAAAAAAAAAACCTCTGAAAAAAAGACAAGAAAGGTGAAAAAAAGAATAAAGCAATAAAAGCGAAGAGAAGGTAAGAAAAAAAAAATACAAAAAAAAAGAGGAAAACAAATGTGAGAAAAAAAGATGAAAAAAACTATAACAAGTACTGAAATAAAGAAAAGAACAAAGTAAAAAGCAAGAAAAATGAAGAGGTTAAAAAAAAAAAAAAAGTAAAGAAAAAACGAAAAAAAGAAAGATAAAAACAATGAAGAGAAATACTAGAACGAACGAAGCAAGAAAAGAAAAACAAAGAAAAGATAAAATGAAGAAAAAAAAGGAAGAAAAAATATTAAAATGATGAAAACAAGTGGAAATGAAGCAAAAGAAAAAAAAAAGAAACTAAAAAAAGAAGTGAGCGAAAAAACCCCCCAAAAAAAAGAAAGAAGCAAGAAAAAAAAAAGGGTGAAAAGAAAAGGGACAAAAAAAAAGTAACAAAAAAAAAAAAGAGCAAAAAGAGGGTAAAGAAAACAAAAAGCAAAAAGAATATGCGTAAAAGCAATAAAGTACAAGCAGCAAAAGCGAAGGTAAGCAGCAAGTGAAAGCAGCAAAAGCGAAGACAAGCAGCAAAGCGAAAGCAGCAAAAGCAACAAAGCAAAAGCAAAAGCAAAAATAATAAAAGCAAAACAACAAAGCAAAAGTGCAAATAAAAATAACTATTTTATATGATCGTCTATAATTTCTGGGTTGTTACAAATAAGATCATATAATATATTGTTATATGTATATTTATTCTTTTTTTTATATATAAATTTTATTATAAGTTTGAATATGCAGCGCTTCTATCTAAAACTTTTTTTTATTAAGTAAATTACTCTTGGGCTTGTAACAAAAGTTGTAAAGCTCATCAAGATGCATCTAATGGTAGTAAGAATATTAAAATCAACCTGGTAGTTCTTGAGAAATCTTTAAAAACTTTTTTCTCACATATAAAATTTCTTTAAAAAAAATTAATTTTTTTTAAAGAAATTTTATATGTAAGAAAGATGTTTTTTAAAGATTTCTCAAGAACCACCAGGCTGATTTTAATATTTTTACTACTATTAGATACATCTTGATAAGCTTTACAACTTTTGTTACAAGTCCAAGAGTGATTTATTTAATAAAAAAAAGTTTTAGATAGAAGCGCTGCATATTCAGACTTATAGTAAAATTTATATATAAAAAAAAATATTTGTTTAGGTGACTTATGATTTGCCTAATAATTTATTAAATTACAGATTCATATAAGATATTAATCAAAACAATTTTTATAAATAAAAAATTAAACTCTTGCTTATAGTTAGAGTAAAAATAAATTTGGGATTAGACAAAGTATAGCCTATACCAAAATTTTACAAGAAATTTTTTTCTTAAAAGCCAAAAAGTGGTTTTATAATCAATATTCTTTAATAGATAGGAGCTTATCCTTTGTACTACTAGTAGTATGTTTATTAAAACTCGTAAAAATTTTAAAAAATTATAAATTTAAAAAAATTTTATAAAAAAATCTATTTAATATTCTAATTTAATTTTATTTAATTTTTTTTAAAATTAATAATTAAGTTATTAAAAAAATTTTTTTAATTAAATTTTTTTTTAAACTTTTTAGCGTACTACATGTAGTATACTTTTTAAAATCTTATATCTTGTAAAATATTAATAAATTTTATAATTTAAAAGTATTATTATATAAAAAAATAATAAAATTTTATTATTATTAAAAAAGTTTATAACTATTTTTAACCAGTAGTGACATCACTCATATATTAATATATTAAACATATTAAACGTATATATGCATGTATGCAAATATATTAGCATTAGATATTTATTTAACAATAACGATTATCACATATATATTAAACATTTGGCATCGTAAAGCATAATGACTAGTTTGCTTGCATTTTTTACATTTTCTTACTGCTTTTTCTAAAATATTAGTATCTGGATCATTATATTTCGCGTCTGCAATATTTTGGCCCTTATAATTTTCTTCTTTACCATCTTAATCATTATGCTACATTTCTATATCACCTTGGTTCGCTTTTATATCATGGGCATTAAGTCACGTCTCTATATAGATTTAATTATTACAATTTCAAAATTCGCATTATTACTTTTTTGTATAAAGTTAGTTTAATTAGAAACTTACTCTATGCTTTCTTTTGTGCAGATTCACCTTCGGATTTATATCTGTTTGGTTGTCTGCCTTTATGTATTACGCGTAATAGATTACCAACAAGCATAGAATCATAATTTTGTTTGTTAAACAACTCTTCTTTTGTCTTTTCAATGAATCTTTCTATATAACTAACAAATTTCTCTATTTTATTAGCTCTAACTGCCAAGTCAAGTACTTTTTTTGCATGGCCTATACCGTAACCATATTTTTGTTTAGGTCTTTGTGGTTGTTCACTATTAGATATTTTTCTGAATTTTTTTAATTGTTAAAAAGAAAGCAGTTCAGGTAGGTGTGATATTAACTTATTTCTTGCGATTTGATATATTGGCACTTTTTGTTGATTGAAGTACTTGCATTTATTATACTAGTGGCAAGAAATTAAAGAGATATTAAATTGTGTATTGACTAAATAAGACATAACGCAAAAAAAATATCTATACATGACTTTTTTATTAATAAGCAAAAGACAGGTACATAGATGTGACCCATCATTAAAAAGGATTATATATTGTAGTTCTAAGTTTTGACCATGATGCCAGATCACTTTCCATACTTCTTTAACTAAATCATAGGGAACATCTTCTAGTAATGATGAAAATAAAGACTGCGGTTGGTCATAATTATCTTCTCTGGCTATTTCTTGTTGATAGAAGTCATCTGTTATCTAAATCAAAGGAAAGTATTTTTACTTTTTTTTTTTTTTTTTAACAATTCTTTTGGTTGGTGTATATTAAAAATTTACCTCCAAGAACAATTGCCAATCTTTAATTAAAAGAACATCATAGCACAATGATTGAGCTATTTGGTCACGATGTTTTTGAAGAATTTGCAGTATAAGAAATTTCTTCAAGGTCTTGTCAAGTTCAGGAAAATATTCGTTCATTATGCTTGGCATACCTCTTGTTGAGATTTCATTCTTGTATTCATTTAAGATTGCTCTTTTGGATTGTTCATTAAACATCCATTAAACTTCTTCAACAACATCAGTTAGATGTGAGGCTCTATTTAACCTTTTCTTGATTAATTTATTATATACTTCTACACGTTGTGTATTTTGGGCTCCAGCAGTAAAGTTATAGTTAATGGCATAGCTAGCCCAACTACTCTTACAAGGGTATAAAACTTTTGTAAGATAGTTGTTACAAGCTGGGTATTCATTGATTAGTATATTCTATTTGATTTCGAATTTCTTAGGACATAAAGAATTTCGCATTATAAAAAACTTAGAGCAAAAGGTTTGAAATTTGACTTTTAATTTTTCTCTAAGTTTCTTTTTTAAATTTAGATCTATATGAAAGATGCAATAAAGATATTGTATTTCTAAAAAATTTTTTCGAACTGCTGATAACATAGCTAGATCTGTATCAGAATATAGAACTATCAAGCTAATATCACAAGAATTTTTTAATTCTTGAAGAATCCAGGTAAATGTTGATTCAGTTTCATCTTCAAGAATTGCAGCAGCAACTACTATGTTCTAGAAATTATTGTCAATTGCTATAACTAGCATTAGAATCATATCAAATTGGTTTGTCTTGGATATTGTATTGATGAATACAACATTATGATACATCGCGTATGCATTAACTTAGTCTGAAGACATCCAGAATAATGAGTTCAACCTTTTTTCATCTACATCAAAATGAGATTTTATTATCCACTGTGGATCATTATCTTTTTTTAAATATAGTTCGGTAAGCATTTGATATGCATCATTTTTGGTTGGTTTGATTTGCTTTTTAAAGCATTGTATTGCATTATTTAAGTTCTTTTTATTGATCACTTTATGCGGAAATGAGATGGCCAATAAATTATACTAGGTAGTTATACCCATTTTTCTATAAATCATCCAATTTGACTTTTTCTAGCATCTCATCAGTTAGTTTGTGAAATTTTGGTGCTATTTTAGCAATTCGAGTATTTATTTCATGATTATGTTTGCTAGATATACTATTAATCCTAATATCTTCAGCCATTTTAGAATAAAAAAGGTTAATAGACCATGAGCATCCTATCATTTGGAAATTTCTTTCTCTTCGATCCTCAGCTAAAATAGATTTCTGAGCCTCATGTGTGTGAGTATGAGAACATTCATATATCCAACGCTTTGTAATAGTATTATTGGTTAGATCTTTGGCACACCTTCTTTTACATACACAGAAGCCTTGTTGTTTGGTGTAATCATCAAGGTACTTTTCAGCAATTTCCCATATATCAAATTGTAATTCTTGAGTTAATACTAATGGTTTCATTTGTTTTTCATCTTCACTATTATATGATTCATCACTTTGTTAATCACAATCGTCATTATGAACTTCGTTTGTATCCTCCGCTTGGGTTTCATTGTCTGCATCTATGTATTTTAGACAAACTTCATTAATTATACTATTATCATAACTACCATATTGAAAGCTGTAATATTCAAGTACTTCGTTTTCTGGATTTATATCATTAAATTGATTTTCACTAATTATATAATTGTCATAAGTGCAGGGTGTAGTAACTTAGTGAAGTGGTTAAGTTGTCACACCCCCAAGCAATATGTTGGCCAGGTAGGAAGTTCGAAACCCACTGGTGACAAATTTTGAATATTCTACTTATACGACGGCTACTGTTTTTTGATGATCGGTTAGAACGGGATCTCTGTAACCTTGGTGGTATCAACAAGATTGGAAGATCATAGAGTATTCATGTAATATATGAGTTACACGAAATGTTCCAGATCGTGTTAATCCAAGGAACCGGAAAGATGGATACCTGCTTGGCAAGACCCGAGTAGAGAGGTAGCACAGATCTTTGATGGTGCTATGTAAAAGATTGCCACTAGAGAACTAGCAAAAAACTAAACGAGAACCAGTGTATAGCAAGGCATCCCACCAACCAGGCCACCGGGACTGAGTCCGTCGGAACCAGAGAAAAAGGATCTGCTTAGTTGCAGATACCAGTGAAAAATCTTTTCTGAGCTATCTGGATTGGTAGTTTGGGATAGTTAGGGATATGGTTGACAGTCTGTAAAATGGGTACCGGGGTTTGGGTGAACTTTACAAGGGGGTAGTAGGTAACTGTAGCGGCTTTGGCTCGCAAGTACTTGTCTTCGAACTCGGTGTAAGTTACTGAATCTAGGTAAATCCAG